TGATACAGTACGGGAGGCAACTGCACAAGGACCTGATTACCAGGAGGCAAGAATTACTGAGCTCTATCTTGGAGGCTATCACAGTCTGTTCTAAGTGTTTAATAGGTATTAATTCATTTGTTAATTCATGACACTGATACCAGTATAATCCCCATTTTACAGATGAGAAAACTGAGTCACACAGAGATTAGGTAACTTGCTTAAGGTTGCACTTCTAGGAAATGGACTGGGGGGTTGTCGTGGACTGAATGCTTGTGTTCCCCCAAAATTCACATATGGAAGCCCTAACCCCAAATGTGAAGGTATTTGAAGATGGGGCCTTTGGGAGGTAATTAGGGTTAGATGAGTTCATGAAAGTAGGTCCAATGGCATTTGTGCCCTTATAAGAAGAGACACAAGGCTGGGCAGCTGGGCAGAATGGGCATGGTGGCTCACGCCTATAATTCCAGCACTTTGGGAGGTCAAGGTGGAAGGATCGCTTGAGCCCAGGAGTTCGAGACCAGCCTGGGCAATAGAACAGACCTTGTCTCTACCAAAAAAAAAAAAATTAGCTGGGTGTAATGCCACATACTGTAGTCCCAGCTACTTGGGAGGCAAAGGTGGGAGGATTTCTTGAGCCCAGGAGCTGGAGGCTGCTGCAGTGAGCTATGATTACGCCACTGCTCTCCAGCCTGGGCCACAGAGAGAGACCCGTCTTTAAAAAAAGAACAAGAGAGACACAAGAAAGCTTGCTCTCCTTTCCTCTCTGTTTCTCTTGCTGTCTCTATGTCTCTCTGAAACCGCCTTTGCAAAAATTATAACTGAGGAAACTATGACAGTGACAGATTTCAGATTTAACCAACTCCGTCTTGCTTCTAACCTTTAAGCAGTCCTTGTTCATTCTTGGGCTTAAGTCAAACTAATCTAGGGAGGCATTTAGTTTGAAACAAAATTGATAATAGCCCTTTCCTGAAAAGACCCCCTCTTCTGTTGGGACCAGTTCGCTTTTGTAGGACTAACAAATTAGCTACAAGATTAGATATTATGCAGCCTCTGACTCCAAGAGTCTGAACCTCCCCCAAATTGCTCCTGGGGACATCACTATTGTAAAACCTGAGATCAGTGCTTAAGATATTTTGCAGATCCTGTACTTGATGGATCAGCTGACACCACTCAGACCAGTAATCTGACTCAACCAGTTCTGCCATCTCACCCAGGAACAGAAGACTGCAAGAAAACTTAACTTTGATCCCCTCTATGATTCCATCTCCAACCTGACCAATCAGTACTCCCCACTTACTGAGCCCCTACCCACCAAATTATCTTTAAAAACTCCGATCCCCGAATGCTTGGGCAGACTGATATGAGTAATAATCAAACTCCAGTCTCCCACACAGCCGACAGCATGAATTATTCTTTCTCCATTGCAGTTCCCCTGTCTTGATAAATCGGCTCTGTCTAGGCAGCAGGCAAGGTGAACCTGTTGGGCAGTTGCATCTCTCTCCCTTTCTCTATGCATGCACGCCAAGGTAAGACCATGTGAGCACATAGCAAGAGGGTAGCTACCTACAAGTCAAGAGAAGATAACTCAGAATAAAATCACCTTGATCTTGGACTTGCCAGCCTCCAGAACTGTGAGAAGTAAATTTCTGTTGTTTAAGCCACCCAAGCTGTGGGATTTTAGCAAACTCATCCGGCATTGCACTCAGAGGGTTCAGGATTCGACTTCAGAGCGCTGACTGTTTAGCCCTTGTTCTTAACCTTTCCCTCTTTTTCCGGGACTAATACAGGCCCTGGCGCCCCCTGATTCCCACCTGGCCCCTTGGCTGGGTGAGAGGCTCTCTTCACTGACAGTGAGGCCCGATGTGCCACTGGGAAGACTCGGAAACAGGATTGGGAGAAGCCTCTGGGGCAAACTCCAAGTCCAAGGGTTCAGTGCTGACCCAGATGTTCCTTTGTTTTTATACCCCTGGGAGACAGTCTTGGGGGCTCAGCTGCCCACCCCACCTGGCCTTCCGCTCCCCACCCCCACAGCTTGAACCTGGGGTTTGCCATACACACCCTCAGGGACTATCCAGATTATAAACAGTGAGCAGGAGGAAAACAAACTATATTTAAACCGGCAGTTGCTTCACAAACAAAGCTGGTGGGGGGGAATACACTAGAAACATGAAAAGACCAAATGTCAAAATCCACAATACGTTCAAATTTTAAGAATAAGCAAAAGATATAAAAAGGCAATTCACATGAGAATAAATGTCAATGTCCCCAAAAACCAAAACAAAAAAGTGCTTATCCTCAATAATTTAAACATATCACATTAAAACCACAATAAAATCTGATTTTTCTTGGATCCAATAGACAAAAGTATTAAAGATGAATAATATTCAAGCTTGGTGAGGGGTAGGGACATGGGGACTGGCACTGCTCTTGGCCCTGGGGGAGCAGGAGAGTGCAATTTGACAAAGAAAAATGTTAACTATGCATACATGTGACTCAGCAATTATATTCTGAGGACTCTATCTTCTCAAAAAACTAGAAAGATAACAGAAAGATATAATTAGATAGGTAGATACAGATATGCAGATATATAGCTCTATTTACACACCAGGACATTTTTGCAATTTTGTTTGCTGTAGCAAAACCTTGGAAACAGCCCAAATGTCCATCAGTGGGACAAATAAATAAATTGCCGTGTGGTCACCTAGTGGAATGCTATACAGAATTAGAATAAACAAATCTTGCCACAAGTAACGACATGGAGGAAGCTCATAAATAGAATGTCAAGCAAAAGAGGACATCCTGTATAATTCCGTTTATGTAAACTTCGAAAAAGGCAGAACGAATCTGAGCTGTCAGCATTCAGGATGGTAGTTATCCTTGAGGAGGCCAGAAGGAAGCATGGGGCCTCTGCGACTGCTGGTGATGGCCTGTTTCTTGACCTGGGTGCAGGTGATGCAAGTATACTCACTCTGTGAAAATGCCTTGTATTGTACACCTAGGAACTGTGTACTTTTTTTTGTTTTTTTGAGACAGAGTTTAACTCTTGTCACCCAGGCTGGAATGCAGTGACACGATCTCGGCTCACTGCAACCTCCACCTCCCAGGTTCAAGCAGCCTCCTGCCTCAGCCTCCCGAGTAGCTGGAACTACAGGCTAATTTTTGTATTTCTTGGTAGAGATGGGGTTTCACCATGTTGGCCAGGCTGGTATGAAACTCCTGACCTCAAGTGATCCACCCACCTCAGCCTCCCAAAGTGCTGGGACTGGAATTGTGTACTTCTCTGAATATATATTATACTTGAAGAAAAAGTTTACTAAACAACAATAACAACAAAAAGCATACCCCAGTAAGCATTCCAAACGTCCATGCAGAAAAATAAATACTTATATATACACATAGATATTCCTCCAATTCAAAAAAATGGACATTGAGCTTTCCATATTGAATACCAATATCAAAAGATGTCAGCAATATATTGTTAGGCACAAACAGAAAAACACATGCCTATTACATATAATCTGATCCTATTCTTTTAAAAAAATTATACATGGGTATGTAAATAAACGTATGTATCAGATATGTGGTACAGGCATAGAAATGGATGAAAAGAAATCTCCAAACTGTTAAAAACTAGGAGCCAGGGTTCCTTAATGAGGCCCTCTAAAGGCTCTTTAATAAGCCCATTTAATGAGGCCCAGCAGGAAACTTGAACTACAGCTCATCAGAACTGGGCCCTCACCTCTGTCAGAGCTGGGCCCTGGCACAACCCTGGGTAGGCCAGGGGCCACTTCGGATCAGAGTTTCTGGAAGCACCATGCAAGGCGAGCCCTGGGGGCCCTGGAACAGCCAGGTCAAGGCCTGGGGGAATGGACCCTGAGACGTAGGATGAAGACAGGAGAACTAGCCCTGACCTCATGGGCCCCAGTGGTGTTGGGGGAGGTGGGAGGAAGACAACCCTATCTGGACACACCAATTAATCATCACAACCCTTAGGACACCAAGGTCATACCGTTAGTAGGTGGAACAGCCAGGCCTTGATCCCAAATCTGTGTGAATCTCAAGTTAAAGGCTATGCACTGGGCTGGGGAGGGCGTGGTGAAGACAGCAGAAAGGAGCAGGGTGCCCTGTACAGAGACCAGAACCCCATGGCAGGAATCACAGAAGTGGCTTTGGCCCAGGGCCTGCAGCTAAGCCACCCTCTGGGGTCAGAACTCAACTGTTAAATCTGGCCCCAAGGACCGCTCCGTTAACTCAGCACTGACACCTCCAGCTCCAGCTTCCAGCAGCCTGGAGGCTGGCCCCATCCAAAATAGACCCCAGGAGCGAGAGCCAGATCTGTCTACTGTGCCTCTGTACACAACCACCCCCAATGCCCCTACTCACTCGCCACCCTACTCTCCCCTGCCCGCTTCACCCACCCCGCCCCTGTGTTCTGAGTCACTCAGGACATGATTACTATTAAGGAGATGGAAAGAGTAGGGGCAGAGGAGCAGGGGTGGCTGGAAGAGCCTGGGTCCCAGGTTCAAGTCCCCAGAGTCTGAGCCAGATGTGGCCTGGTTGATTGTCCTAAGCAACTTAGAATGAACAAATTTAGCAGGTGTGGGACAGGAGTCAGCAGTTGGGAGTCTACTGTGTACCAGGTTTATTCAGTCTGTACAACTGTTGGTATTAGTGTCTCCATTTTACAGATAAAGAAATTGAGGCTCAGAAGTGAAGTAACTTGTCCAAGGTCACCTACAGCTTGGACCACTGAACCAAGGAAAATGTAGATTTCGAGCACAGTCCTGCTACTTACTAGGAGGAAAGTCATGTGGCTTGGGCAAGTTACTTTACCTCTGTGAGCCTCAGTTTCCTCATCTATAAAGATGATATTAAATTAATATTTAACTTACAAAATTGTGAAGATTCAAAAAGGTAATGTTAATATGAGTGCTGTGGCACACACCTGTAATTCCAGCTGCTCAGGAGGTTGAAGCGGGAGGATCACTTGAGCCCAGGAGTTCAAGGCTGCAGTGAGCTGTCATTGCACCACTGCACTCCAGCCTGGGCAACCCCATCTTAAAAAAAAAAAAAGGTAATGTTAAAACTCTTAGCATGGTATCTGGTACACAGAAGGTCCTTAGAAAATGTTTGTTGTACTTTTTTTTTGAAACAAGGTATCTCTCTCTCTCTCTCTCTCTCTCTCTCTCTCTGTTGTCCAGGCTGGAGTGTAGTGATGCAATCACAGCTCACTGCAGCCTCAACCTCCTGGGCTCAAGTGATCCTCCTGCCTCAGCCTCCAAGAAGCTGGGGCTACAGGCATGCGCCACCACACCTGGGTAATTTTTTTTTTTTTTTTTTTGTAGAAACAGGGTCTTGCTATGTAACCAGGCTGGTCTCGAACTCTTGCCCTCAAGCAATCCTCCTACCTTGTCCTCCCAAAGTCTTAGCAAATGTTATTATGATTAATTATCTGACCAATGAGAGAGTTTACTCCCTCAGAGCAGTGGGGTTAGGGAAAGTTTTTAACCTTCCTAGATCAATCCAGGATGTCTTCCTGAAAGAAGCAGCATTTCTGTCCCATTTTAACCCGAGACCATGAATTCTCTAGGTATATAAGGTTGTGATGGGGTAAGCATGGGGAGTACCTGGTAGAAGGGGGCACAACTTGGATAGGGAGAATTGCATCAGTCTGGGTGTTGGGGGTCAGGCAAGGTCTAAACACAGGCAGGACTCCAGATCTCGTTCTCGGAGAATGTCCCAACATCCAGCTTGGGCACCTTGGATGATAAACAGGTTGTCACCCTCTGAACCCCAAGTGAACCTGATAAATCCTGGCAAAGCTGAGGCAAGGAGAAGAGGCCCATCTATAAATACGCAGTGACTCAGGCTCAGTGTCGTGTTGAAAGAGCCGCTTGTGTTTATGGCTCGGTTGCTCTGGAGAGGCAGTCCAGCTCTAGGAGGAAGGTCCAGGATGCCCTGAAGTCTCACACCTCCCAGTTTTCTCTGCTGGGGCAGGTTTGGGACCTGGGGCCAGACCCACCATACGCTGGCTTAGTGTCCAGTCCGTTATGGGACTCTGAACAAGCCTCTCACTTCTCTGAGCTTCCAGCCATGCAGGAAATGAAACATTGACTCTCTCTCTACTTTGGCCAGATAGGCTGTGAGGCAGGATGGTCTAGTGATCAGGCACTCAGGTTTTTGTTGCCAGATAAATGTAGGTTCAAGTCCCAGTTTCATCCCTTAACTAGCTATGTGACTTTAAGCCAGTCAATTCATTTTTCTGAGCCTCAGTTTCCTGAACTATAAAATGGTGACAATAATGGAACTTTCTTCATAGAGTTGTCATGAGGATGAAAGAAGAGAAAATATATAAGGTACTCAGCACAGTAACTGACAGGTAATAAACACTCAGTTAATGATAGTATTATGACTGCAAATTAAGCTAACTGTTTTAAATACTTTGAAAAGAAATATTGGAGATTTTGGTTCCCCAGAGAGATATTTTGAGAGTCAATGATTACCCAAGAACTTCAACCACCTCTCTGCTTCCCAAATAGAAAAAGCCAAGCTATGAAGAAAACAAGACAGTTCCCCAAGGTTGGTAGAGAAAGGGCAAGGCACTGTCACTCATCAGATACCTACTGTGTGCCAGCTGCTGTCACCTCCAACATCATCTCATTTACTCTCCAGCCACCAAGGTACAACTTCCCTACACCAACCAACGAACCGAGACCCTGTGAAATGAACTGAATGGCAGAGCTGCGATTTGAGCCCAGGTCTGAGTACTTTCACAGTGCTTATGTGTGGTCCTATCACACTATGGTACTTGGTTGACTCCCTGGTCTAGAAAAGTGGCCAAGGAAGAGACAGAAGTGAGAGAATGAGGAAGGAAGACTCAAGATGCTCAGCAATAGTCAAGGGAGAGTGTAGAGATTTAGAAGGAGATGGGAGGTGGGGAGCTGTTTGGGAAGAACACATGACTTTGAGGTGACTGCTCTGTGGGTCAACCAGCAGGCAGATGGAAAAGTACAGCTGAACTCAGAACAAAGATCAGACTAGGGGCTGGGTGCAGTGGTTCACATCTGTAATCTCAGCCCTTTGGGAGGCTGAGGCAGGAGGATCATTTGAGTTCAGGAGTTTGAGACCAGCCTGGGCAACATGGAGAAACCTCGTCTCTACAAAAAAATGCAAAAATTAGCCGGGCATGGTGGTGCACACCTGTGGTCCCAGCTACTTTGCAGGGGCTGAGGTGAGAGGATTGGTTGAGCCCAGGAGGTGGGGATTGCAGTGATCTGAGATCACGCCACTGCACTCCAGCCTGGGCAACAGAGTGAGACCCAGTCTCCAAAAGAAAGAGAGAGAGAAAGAAAAAAGCTGGAATGAGGTTGGGGAAAAAGAATCCTTTGCTCAAGGCTGTCTGAAATGACTTCTAAACTTACAACCCCTCAAGACTCTCTTCTGCATGGCTTTGAACGCCATCTCTGCAGCATCCTGCCTCCGGGCCTTTGCACCTGCTATGTGATCTGCCTAGAATAGTCTTTTCCTCCTCAGCTAAGTTGTCACCTCTTCACAGAAGCCTTCTTTAACCACTCTATTTAAACAGGCCCCGTCCTACTACTCCTGGACCGAGCACCTGCTTGGTTCTTTCTCAATATTTATCACAATCTATATTTTACTCAATTTCTGTGTCAGTTGTTTGTCCCCACCCTCCGCCTAAGACAGTATCTGTTCCATGAGTGCAGGGATTTGATGAGCTTGTTCACTGCTATCTACAGCTCCTGGAATAGCGCCTGGCATACAATGCTTCTTAGCATGTTTATGGAATGAATGAATGATCCAGTCCCACCTGTCTCCTAAAATCCTGTCTCCGACTGTCTGCTCCGTTGGAACTGATTTCCCACTATTTCTCCATCACACCCTCCCGTTCTCCCCTTCTAAGGGCCCCTACTTGGAACACCCCCTCCTCTGCCTATTCAAACCCTGCCCAAGGCTGAACTCCCCTGGGAAGCCCACTCACCCCCAGATCAAGTGAAGTGAATAATCTATACAACTGTACGTGGTGGCCCTGCTCCAAGCACCACTACTTACCTTGAGTAAGTCACATCAACTCTCTGGACCCTATTTTCCCCAGTTAATTCTATCTTCGGGATTGTATCCAAAGGAAGTCATTCAAAACCAGAGAAAAGCCAGAAATGGCCAAAGATACACCCTGAAGTATTATTTAAAATAGAAAAAAGTTTTTAAAACAACAAAAATGTTAAATGTTAATAATAATAAAAGGCTACTGTTTAATGAGTGCTTAAATGGGTCTGGCAGTGAGCAGCTGTGGACCCACAGCCCCACCCACTTACTGTATGATCTTTTTGTTTGTTTGTTTGCTTGAGACGGAGTCTCACTCTGTTGCCCAGGGTGGAGTGCAATGGCACAATCTCAGTTCACTGCAACCTCCGCCTCCCAGGTTCAAATGACTCTGTTGCTTCAGCCTCCCAAGTAGCTGGGATTATTTATAGGCCTGTGCCACCACACCCAGCTAATTTTGTATTTTTAGTAGAGACAGAGTTTCACCATGTTGGCCAGGCTGGTCTTGAACCTCTGACCTCAGGTGATCCACCTGCCTCAGCCTCCCAAAGTGCTGGGATTACAGGCGTGAGCCACCACACCTAGCCCTGATCTTTTTTTTTTTTTTTTTCCTTGCTCTGTCACCCAAACTGGAGTGAAATGGCACAATCTCAACTCATGCAAACCTCTGCCTCCTGGGCTCAAGCAATTCTCCCACCTTAGCCTTCTGGGTAGTTGGGAGTACAGGCATGAGCCACTGCACCTGGCTGTGCTGTATCTTGAGCCAATGATTTAACTTCTTTGAGATTCAGTTTCCTCATCTATAAAATGGGAATGATAAAGTTTCCTTCCTCATAGAGCTTTTATTGTTGTTGTTATTGTTGTTAAGTAAACCTTTTACTGACTGTAATCCAAATACCAAAAAGTACATGACTAAGTGTGTAGCTGAATAAATGTTCACAAAATAACCATTGTTGTGTAACCAACAAAAAAAGATGATTCTGATGATTACATGAGACAACACCTGGGAAATACTTAGAGCAGTGCCCAGCACAGAGAACATGCTGGAATGGGTTGCTCCTGTTTCATGGGCATTTTGCTAAGTACTCTCTTTACATGCATTATTTTTATTTAATTTTTTTTCCTTTTATTTACCTCACAATAACCCTATGAGATAGGCACTAATATTACCCTCATTTCAAATAAGGAAACTGAGATACAGAGAAGTTAAATATACTGCCCAACATCACAAAGTTAGTAAATGACAGAGGTGAGAGAGGAACCCATGTCTTTTGCCAAAACCTTCTTCCAAAACTCCTTGATATACTGGCTCCCCAAGACATCTATTGCAGCATCAGTTAATAAGCTATTTTTAAAAAGGATATTCAATGACCAACTAGGTAAACTGTGGTCTGCTGAATTCTGTTTTTTTTTTTGTTTTTTTTTTGAGACGGAGTCTCACTCTGTCACCCAGGCTGGAGTGCAATGGCTCGATCTCGGCTCACTGCAGCCTCCGCCTCCCAGGTTCAAGCAATTCTCCTGCCTTAGCCTCCCAAGTAGCTGGGATTACAGGCACCCACCACTACATCCGGCTAATTTTTGTATCTTTAGTAGAGATGGGGTTTCACCATGTTGGCCAGGCTGGTCTCAAACTCCTGACCTCAGATGATCCTCCTGCCTTGGCCTCCCAAAGTGCTGGGATTACAGGTGTGAGCCACTGAGCCCGGTCAGTCAGCTGAATTCTCAAGTTGATAAAATAAATATCTGTTGAGCACCTACTACATGCCAGGCACTGTTCTAGGCACTGGAGATACAGAGAAAGCAAGAGAGAAAAGTTCCCTTTTCTCCCCAGGGAGCTTATATGCTGGCAGGAGAAGACAGATTTTTAAAAATAAAGATGATTTCTGATGTAACAAATGCTATCAAGAAAATAAACCAGGCCGGGCACAGTGGCTCATGCCTGTAATCCCATCACTTTGGGAGGCTGAGGTGGGCAGATTGCCTGAGGTCAGGAGTTCGTGACCAGCCTGGGCAACATGGCAAAATCTTGTCTCTACTAAAAATACAAAAAATTAGCTGGGTGTGGTGGTGTGTGCCTGTAGTACTTAGGAGACTGATTCAGGAGAATCCCTTGAACCCAGGGGGCAGAGGTTGCAGTGAGTCGAGATCACGCCACTGCACTCCAACCCGGGTAACAGAGTGAGACTCTATCTCTCAAAAAAAAAAAAAAAAGACAAAAGAAACCAGAATCGACTGGGAGCAATGGCTCGTGCCTGCAATCCCAGCACTGTAGGAGGCCGAGGTGGGAGGATCACTTGGGCCCAGGAGTTAGAGACCAGCTTGGACAACATAGAGACATCCTGTCTCTACAAAAATTTTAAAACTTAGGTGGGCATGGTGGCACACACTTGTAGTCCCAGCTACTCAGGAAGCTGAGGGAGAAGGAGTTCAGGAGTTCGAGGCTAAAGTGAGCTATGATGGTTTTGCAGCACTCCAGCCTGTGTGACATAGCCAGATCCTGTCTCTATAAAAAATAACAATAATAAAGTATTCTAAAAAAAAAAAGAAAGAAAGAGAGAGGAGGGAAGGAAAGAAGGAAGGAAGGAAGGAAGGACGGGCTTTGGGAGGCTGAGATGGGGGTATCGCTTGAGTCCATGAATTCAAGACCAGCTTGGCAACATAGCAAGGCCCCAACTCTACCAAACCGCCCCCCACAAAAAAATATATATATATTATGTATGTGTGTGTGTATATATAAATATAAATATAGCGAGTAATAGGATGGAGAGAGACTTTCAATCAGGGAGATTGCCTTGGATGCTTTAGATACGATGTTCGAGGAAGGACCCCTGAGGAGCGGACAGTTGATCTGAGACTTGGATGATGTGGAAAAGCTGACTGAGTGACAACTTTGGGGAAGGACACTCCAGAGACAGCCCCAAGGGTTATGCAGCCATTCTAATACATTGTATTGAAACCTGGAAAAAAGTAAAACAAGGCTGGGGGTGATGTCTCATGCCTATAACCCCAGCACTTTGGGAGACCGAGGTGGGCGGATCACCTGAGGTCGGGAGTTTGAGACCAGCCTGAACAACAGGGAGAAACCCTGTCTCTACTAAAAATACAAAATTAGCCAGGTGTGGTGGCGGATGGCTGTAATCCCAGCTACTCTGGAGGCTGAGGCAGGAGAATCACTTGAATGTGGGAGGTGGAGGTTGCAGTGAGCCAAGATGCACCATTGCACTCTAGCCTGGGCAACAAGAGCAAAACTTCATCTCAAAAAAAAAAAAAAAAGTAAAACAAAAAAGCGTAAGATACACTAAGATGATAACTATTACAATACGTGGGCTCACCTCGTCCCAACCTTTGCCAGATAGATAACATCCTCAGAAAAGTCAGTCAGTCAGTTATTGAGATGCTACGATTATGGGTGTTTTGGTTTTGTCCTTTTCAAAAAAAATCTGCTGTTGTTACATTTTTCTTTTTGCAACTTTTTTAAAGTACACAAGAAAGAAGACACATTCCAGGAGTCTCATTCAAACCAAATAAGAGTTCTGTGATTACTATGAAGGCTATATGTGTGAGAAGAATATATTAGCTTAGTGAACATGCTGTGCAATCTCGAGTCACACTCCCTCTCTGGGCCACAATCCTGAACATGCGGGATGTCACCTGCTA